CCCCCCCCCCCCCGACTTTTGTTGTTTTTCGGTGCCCTAATAGACTGCAGTTCTGATCAACATTTTTCGAGCTGTCGCGTGTTTGAATTTTTGTTGGAACAACCCCAGTCGGTTTCATGTTCCATCGGCCAACCCTGGGGCGAAACATCCTTGTGAACCCTTTGACTCCTCACTTTTTGTTTTGTTCTTGTTGTTACCCACGCTTCTATTCTGAACTAACGGTGTATGTCGCTTCTTGTGCCCCGTCTTATAAGGCATTCCGTACCAATACCACTGCGTTAAGGCATGCTGTACCAATACCAATGTGTTAAGGCATGCCGTACCAATATCAATGCATTAAGGCATACCTTACCAATGCCAATGCATTAAGGCATACCGTATATGACTTGAGATAACACACCCCCTTGACCGATTTTCGAAGCTCGATTTCTCAACTGCCGGACCAGTCACAGCACCGATAACGGTGGCGTTGAAACCGTCTCGTCGAGAAGTATATCGTTTCGTTTATACATCCTCTTCATCGTGGAGAAATCGAGCTTTGAAAATCGGTCCAGGGGGTGTGTTATCTCAAGTCATATACGGCACTGTACCACTACCAATGCGTTAAGGCGTGCTGTACCAATACCAACGCGTTAAGGCATGCTGTACCAATACCAATGCGTCTCAGTAAATGGAAGGGGGTCTCGTTGCACTGCGCCGGTTGGCATCTTGCACGACTCCTGGAAGTTTGTTTTTTGTGTTGCCCTGAGCACTGGCCTTCGTGAGGTTTTCGCAGTCCGACTGGCTTTCCTTGGGGTGGGGAAGTCGAAAACGATGCAGAGCAGACCAACATTATTTGTAATGTACATCGATACAACAACGACTTTTGGCATGAAAACCTGCTGAGTGCCGTACGGCTACATGGAACGAGTTCGATCGGCCCACTTTTTGTAAATAGCAGCAAGTGTTCGGAACAACAGCCACTTGTTCGTTGACCTTGTTGCGCTATTGTGCACTTGGGGGGTGTGATGACGAATGCATACTCAGGTGGACAAGGTGCGGCTAGGCCAGGCGTATCCGCTGATCGACGTGAACGATGTTCTCATCTTCCTCAAGGTGAAAGACAGCTTGTGTGTAATGTTCTCATCTCATCTGTGTAAGATTGTATGTAGGACTTGTTTTGATGGCGTGGGCGCTGTTGCTGCCTGCCTTGCGATCGTGTTTTTTTTTTTGTCATTATACTCGTCCTTTTTGCTCATTCGGTGCCTCGATAGTGAAACTCGAGATGTTCATTAGGGCAGAATGGGTTCTAAACGATGATGGAGCGTTGACTGTTGTCGCTGTTTCGTACGAAATACCAGGCGCATGACTGATGTCCCCGGAGGTACCAACCGCGTGTGGAGAACCTTTGTTTGAAAGTGAAGTTGATGAGGAAAAACACAACAAGGCTCATTTCCTGTCACTTTTCCAACTTCTTCTCGTGTGCTTTCGCGGGGACTTGCTGATCTACCCCCCACAAGGCTGACGCTGCAGTAGCGAAACGTTACGACTCACGCTCGTGGCACAAAGTCTTACTCCGCCTACCGCGCATCCCCCGCCTGTTTTGTTTTGTTTTTGTGGTGAGAAAGCTCTTCGATCCGAACGGCCTCCCGCTGCCGCACCTGACGTACGTGGGACACACTCTGCTTGCCGGGGATGCCTCTAGCGAGATCATCGCTGAGGAGGCGATCCGGCTGTCTGGGTTGCCGCCTTCAACGCCGATTGACTTGTATGAACAGGTGTGTGCGTACAGCAGTGAGTTAAGTAGTCTTGACGGCTTGGCGTAGAGCTTTCTCGTCTCTCTCTCCCTCCTTCGCCTCTTGTAGAAAGAGGTACAATTCAGTAGTACAATTAAGGCCGGGTGGAGTGCTTGCTCTCTCGTCTCTCCCTCCTCCATGTTTCCTTTTGAGTTTTGTGCTTGTGCGGAGACGGGTTGTGGCTGGGGGTGCACGCCGCATGGTGTCGACGTCGTTGTTGCTATGGATGCGGTTGTAGTTGTAGTAGTAGTAGCCGCAATAGTAGTTGTTGTTTATTTGGGCAAAGTGACGTGTGCATACAGAGAGTACGCCCTTTTTTTGCGAGAGGCGATACGGCAATGGGGGGACTCAAGAGAGACGTAAAAAGGGAAGATGGCAGCCAGCGGCCACAGTATATGCCGGTCGTGCTCTACCGTCGGGTTTGTTGCCCGTTGTTTGTTGCATCGATAGACCTCGGGCCAAGGCGAGGTTTACTTTTCCCGCCCGCTACTTTATCGATTTCGGCGACTTTGTTTTTCGCTTTTTTTCGGCGTGCTTGCGTGCGCTTGTCCTCCTCTCCCGAACTTTTAAGCCACCTTTTTCACACTCGATCGATCGCTGCTGCCGTCTGTGTTGTGGTGGGCGTGATTTTTCGGTCCCGGAACGCCGCAGGTGACGCCGAGGGTGGTAAACAAGGTGCCCCAGGATAAGACCCTCAGCGAGAACGAGCTACAGCACGGGGACATAATCCTCTTCCAGATACGCCCGGACAAGGTACAATATTGTCGAGAGCAAAGTTAATGTTGGCAGCGGGACGGCACCCAGGGTTAACGAACAAGTGCGTCTGTCTGCCATTTGGAAGTATTTTGCAGGGAACAGTAAAAGCTTCTTGGAGGGGGGGTCGAGGTTGCAGTGCAAGGACCTCAAGTCAGAACCGGTGCCGGACGCAATTTGTTTTTTGTACACGTGGACGATTTTTGAGGGCCACTACAGCTAAAATGCACGTCATGCATTTCACCACCGCAGCAGCAGCAGCAGCGGCAACAGCATCATCACCACTACCACCATCGTCACCAAGTGCAGAACTCGATCATCGCAGATGGAACAATGGAAGCCAAAACCCCAAGATGCTTGCAAGGCACCGCAAAATTTTCCTGCAGTACAGAACGCGCCACTTACGAACCCAGGATTTACTTGAAGTAAGAAATTGGGCCTCATGAAATCAGAATTTAAGAACTTGAGCGCCATTTGTGAGCGTGGTGAAAGACCTACACCAAGATCTATTTAGCGACAATTCGTAGCATGGCCGTAGGAGCTAAGAACCTCAGCCTCGGCCAAAACTATAGCAGAGGTTCTCAAGTGGTGTTTCGTTCTGTAGTTGGCGTCATCGCCGATCGATCGATCGCCCACGTTATCCCGTCAAGAAGCCCTCCAGGACGTGGGTTGCTTGGTACCGTACCCGACAATCAGAGAGCAGATTTATCGATTTATCGTGCTCGCCTCCTGCCTTGGTTTGCTTTGGGCCTTGGTTAACCATACCCTATTCGAAGCGTGTGAC